GTCATTTGTAGGGTAATCCCGGATTAAGGAACGTACACGGGGTCTTGGGCAGTGGGATCATGACTCTATTTCTCATCCATGCCTACCTTGGACTTCAACTTGGCCTCAGTTACTGATCATATCTCTGTCCATTCACTACCATTTAGGCTTTTGTCAATTCATTTATAGGAAGGAAAGTCTCTTAAGGGAAGGGGACGGGTACAATTTTGTAGCAAAATGCACATGGCATGAAAAATAAGGAAAGTTATTTTTGTACCTTTAACTCTCTTCATTGCAAACCATAAATTTCCTTTCCAAATTCCCCAAACATATACCAAACTGAGTTCAATTATTATTATCTTTTTAAGTTTTTTTTTTGTGCTTTGATAATGACATCTGAAGTAAGAGATAGTTTTTCATTTTGTCAAACTTTTACACTCTACTTAATATTCAAATTTGAAACATTCATGTTATAGTCTTATGCTCTTATCTTTTGTTCTTATCTTTCCAACTAGTATTGGAAGGAATTGTGAAAAAAAAAAATGAAAAGAAAAAGAAAAACCCAACTATAACAAATCAAAAAGATTATATATTAAATGGGGAAAAATTAAATATAAAGGGCTAAATCAATACTCCATTATGCAACACATCCAATCGAAAACGTGACAAAAAAAAAAAGAAGCGCAAGAATCACGTGGGCGGATCCACCGCCCACGTTCGCACACTAAGTGGTGGGTGGCAGTAGGTCCCACTTACCAACCAACCAAATGTTAACGAATATTTCCCCATTCTGTCCCCTCCGTCTAATTGTCAAATCGGATCTGACCGTCTAACTCGACGGCGAAGATTCAAATCCGTATAGTGGAACTCAGCAGCAGACTATAAAATATAAATAGGCGAAGCCAATCAAGAGAGCGAGTCATACGCTCCGGCGAACGCCCCCGCCTTCTATTCATCTCGTTCGCTCTATCTCTCCATTCTTTCCTCTTCTTTTCCATCCCCGCCTCAGATCTCATCGGTACGTCCACATTCGCTCTTGCTTCTCCACATTCATTTTCTTTACATTTTCGCCTTTCCATCTGTTCTTGCTAGATCTCGTCGATTCAAGTTAGATTTACAGATTTCTTTTTTAGTTTCTGGATTTACGAGATGCATTTTTTAAGACTAAACATGAAGTAGATCGGAGTAATGGTGGTAACTTTATTAGTTAATTGATGTTAGTTATGGATTAGTTCTTGTGTATATTGTTAGGCTTGTTGATTAATCCATCAAATACTTAGCATTGTTTAAAATCTAAGCATGGTGAAATTGCTGAGTTGATTTGATTGATGCTGTGTCTGGTTCTTGTGTTTTAATGTTATTTAATGAACAAAAATACATTCGTGATCTGGTTAGCGGGAATGCGTGGAAGTTGCTGCTGATTTGGTTAAATATGGCAGATGATTCAGTTGATGAATATTGATTATCTAGCTAATTATAAAAAGTTTCAGTATTGACAATTTTATTTCATCTGGATTTTAGTACTTGTTAAATCTGCAATATTCGAGCTAGTTTTGCGGTATTCTAGATGTTTTATCATTTTAATGGAAATGATCTAACTAGCTCTGATTTCGTCTATTGTAGAGATGGATACCTTCCTTTTCACTTCTGAATCTGTTAATGAGGGTCACCCTGACAAGCTCTGTGACCAAGTCTCGGATGCCATCCTTGATGCTTGCCTAGATCAGGATCCAGAGAGCAAAGTTGCATGTGAGACCTGTACCAAGACTAATATGGTCATGGTCTTTGGTGAGATCACAACCAAGGGCCAAATTGACTATGAGAAGATAGTTCGAGACACATGCAGAAATATAGGATTTACATCAGCTGAAGTTGGTCTGGATGCTGACAATTGCAAAGTCCTTGTCAACATTGAGCAGCAGAGCCCTGATATTGCTCAAGGAGTTCATGGTCACCTTACCAAGAAACCTGAGGAAATTGGTGCTGGTGACCAAGGTCATATGTTTGGGTATGCCACAGATGAAACACCTGAGTTTATGCCTCTTACTCATGTCCTTGCTACGAAGCTTGGTGCCAAGCTTACCGAAGTGAGGAAGAACAAGACATGTCCATGGTTGAGGCCTGACGGTAAGACCCAAGTGACTGTTGAGTACAGGAATGAGGGTGGAGCCATGGTTCCTGTTCGAGTTCACACAATTCTCATTTCAACCCAACATGATGAAACCGTTACAAATGAACAGATTGCCCAGGACTTGAAAGAGCATGTCATTAAGCCTGTAGTCCCTGCTCAATATCTTGATGACAATACCATTTTCCACTTGAACCCTTCAGGTCGATTTGTTATTGGTGGACCTCATGGAGATGCGGGACTCACTGGCCGGAAGATTATCATTGATACCTATGGTGGCTGGGGTGCTCATGGTGGAGGTGCTTTCTCAGGGAAGGATCCAACCAAGGTGGACCGCAGTGGTGCATACATTGCTAGGCAAGCGGCAAAGAGTGTGGTGGCCTCAGGGCTAGCACGTCGCTGTCTTGTGCAGGTATCATATGCCATTGGGGTGCCAGAACCGTTGTCAGTTTTTGTAGATACATACAAGACAGGAAAGATCCCAGACAAGGATATCTTGGCTTTGATTAAGGAGAATTTTGACTTCAGGCCAGGTATGATCGCCATCAATCTTGACTTGACAAGGGGAGGCAACTTCAGGTACCAAAAGACTGCTGCTTATGGTCACTTCGGACGTGATGATCCAGATTTCACTTGGGAGATTGTTAAGCCTCTCAAGCCCAAGGCTTGAGTGAGCCGATATTTGGCTGGATGGATTTTTAGCAAATGATTATAATCGTAGTCATCATTCTGCAAAACAGATCGAGAATAAGGAACAACTCCAATGCATACATCTGATGCTGAAAAGGATGCAGGACTCAGAGGGCAGGGTTAGCAATGTGCGCTCTTCAAATGAGGTGTTGGTGAAATTTTAGGAGACCGTAGTTTTTTGCTGCTTTGATTTTCTTTTCATTTAATTTTATCTTTAGTAATTATTTCCTTTTCAACATGAACCCATAAATGTTTCTGCAAATCCAACTCTAGGATTGCAGCACATTGCATATTGATTCAATTCCAAATTCAAACATTGTTTGAGCTTGCCAAATTCCATTTCTACATTGCTAGATTTTCCATTGACCCTCAATCCAGAATCCCAGCACATACATGTTGCAACCCTGTTGCATTTTAAAATGTTGCCATCCAAATAAAACCTGGGAAGAACTTCGTCAAGAACTTTACTAATTGAAACTACAACATTTCCTAGTTCTGTTCTAATAAAAGTGAAATAAATAATTGGAAGGCATAGTTTGAGAAGGGAAGGGAATTGCAGTTTGCAGCTGATCGGTGGCATCTTCTAAACGTTGACTCTTTCTTTCAGTCTGAGTGTAGCCACAAGCGATCATGCAACCTCTCTTCCCCGGCTCCAAACATCTCATCTACCCTTTCACCGTCACGATAAAAATGAAAAGTCGGCGTGTACCTGATATGCTGCGTAGCTTCTGGACATTCATCGATATCAGCATACACGAAAGAAAGCTTGGGAAAGTTGTTGCTCAGCCGGCAAAATGCCGGCAGAATCTGACTACAAACGCGGCACCTGAAAAAAAATATCGTTACCAGGTGGGGACGGAACCCAAAAAATAATTTTAGGGGGACAAAGTGTTATTTGAAATGTATATGCTAAAAATGAAATTTTTGATTTGTAGATAAAATTAAGATTTAAATGTATAAAAATTAAAATTTTAAAGGCTTTAAATATAAAAAATTAGTTAAAATTTATGCCAATTTTTAATTTAAAACACTACTTCTATTATAGAACATTACTTAATATTATCCAAATAGTAGAATTAAATGTTTTAAAAAATTAACAATACCAATTGTTAATCAATTTTATTTTGTTGCTTTAGCACAAATGATCATTAACCATCTATATATTACAATAATATATATGTTAAATAAATAAAAATATTTCTATAAATTCTATTTTCCTTGTTCATTGGTTAGTGATTTAGCATAAAATCTATAAAAATAAATAAATAAATAAAACACACCATTTTATTTTTTTAAGAAGGATTCATTTGATTCTTTTAAAACGTATAGGACCTATTTAATTTTGTTTCAAAAGTCCCGTCGCCCCCCCTTGCACCCCCTGGCTCCGTCCCTGTTACCAGGGGCGTCCGTGAAAATTGACTTTCATTGAAGCTTTTCATCGAACAGCTTTAGCTCATTAACAATGCTCTCATATAAACAATCATGGTTTCGATTAAGATAAGAAGCAAATTCACAGAAAGGGGTTTTGAAACATACCACGATGCGCCGTAATTGATGACTGCCTGAAAAACATCAAAGAACTAACAAAATCAATCGAATACCATCAGATTTAAAGGTAACTCTAGAAATAAATGGAAAAGCAGAGAAAAATGGGGATTACAGGGGTTTTGGAGGACTTAATGTGGAGAAAGATGTCCGTGAGGGTTTGATCGTTGGAGGCGCTTTTCAAATTGCCGTGCTTGTTCGCCGGTAGATCCAAGCCTGTTCCCGCCAACCCTTTCTTCTCGGCAGTCTTGCTGTCTTCCATACCATTCAGTAGAAAAAATGTCACGATCTCTAGGATTCTCAGAGATGGGAATATGGGATTAGCTATAGAACCTTCTCGTTTCTAATAAGAGAGAGATGAACTGGGGTGTGGAAGCTGCAAACCTCCGCCAGTGAGCGGACCGTCTTATCTTTAAATTTGCAGAAGCAAATAAGGATTTCAATTTTACCTTCTTTTTTTTTTTTTTTTTTTTTTTTTTTTTTTTTTTTTTTTTT